TTGTTACAAAACTTCTATATAACCTGGGTCCCCCCTCGCCTCCTAGGAGCAGTCCTCTCAGGGTTACTTGAGATGCTGCCTCCCAGGCTTGAAGTCCTAAAAATTCCCGCCGAATAAAACATAACACTCAAGTTTTAGGCTGTGAATATTTTTTTAGTCAACATCATTTAGAGGCTCAATTAAGGAAAAACCTACTTCCAAGCTCCCTCAGACTCCTGGCAGAATTAATTTTCTTGTGGCTCTAGGACAGGTTCCATCATCCTGCCAGCTGTTGGCCGGGTACCACTCTCAGCTCCTACAAGCCCCTCTCAGATCTTTGCCACATAATTTCAGTGTCAAACCCCTTTCACACTTCACATCTCTTGCACTCCCTTTTCTGCTACCAGCTAGAGAAAATTCTCTGCTTTTAAAGGGTTCTTTTGATTAGGTCAGGCCCACCCAAATAATTAAACTCTTTGCCAACTGATGGGTCACTTTAATTACATCGGGAAAATCCCTTTTTCCATGGAACATAGCATAGTCACAGGAGTAACACCAGGAGGCAGAGGTCATGGGGGCCACCCTGGAATCCTGCCTACCATACCCTCTGATACACCCACTCCACATACCCCTGGACTGTTCTCTGTGTTGGTCAGGAAGATTCATTGCCGTAACAAAGAAACTTTAGAATCATAGCCTAGCACGACACAGGTTTACTTCTTTCTCACATCAGAGTCCTTCTAGGTCAGCAGGGGCTCTGCTGCACATTGTGGTCTAGAAACTCAGGTTCCTTTGGTCTAGTGGCTCTGCTATTCCTTAGCGCCCAGAGTCTTTCACTGGATCTTTTGTATTCTGCTAGCAGATGAGGGAAGGGATCACATAAGGAAGATCTTTAGGGAATATATAGGCCAGGTCTGGAGGTGGCCTACGTGATTTCCACCCACATCCCATCAGCCAGAACTAGTCACTTGGTTGTCACTAATTGCAGGGATATGTATTCGGGAAATGTAGTCTACGTGCCAAGAAGAAAAGGGAAACAGTTGTTGAAGAACTAGTTTACTCTTTGCTTAACTCCCCAGGGCCTAGCATACATTCTGGACTTGACAGTCCAGATATTTACCTTTCTTTACCACAAATCCCATCCCTCCCCCTGCCTGCCCCCCCCACAAAAAAGTAATAAACAACATCAACAAAAAAAAAACAGGTTGGTTTCTGAATCGTTTCATCGAAATATGGAATTTAAAATAATGACAGTGCCAAGATATCTAGCTTCTGATTCTGATGCCATTCTTTCAATAATTTTAGGTTCCAAGTAAATCTCTTTATCAAGCATTTATTATATCAAAGCACAAAAACTTCATTCACATCACAAGTAGAAGGTTTGCAATTAACATGTAACATATCTGATTAGAATGTTGAAAATTGAAAAAAGAGGTGGCTTAGAAAGGGATGTGAGAAGAGAGGGACACACATACACATTTGTTTTATGTAGTTAAGCCAGATCCATCCCTTTTTCTACCCTCAGGTAAGTTCCTGTTCACTTTCAAAAGCACCCTCTGAAGTCATTCTTTTCAGAGACTTTCTGGTGTGACTGAGTTTTGTTCTAGGAGCTGCAAGAAAACAACTTGTTGTTTTTGGAGAGTTACAGTTCCTGTGCTGGGTCAAGGAGAACATGCATTCCAATTCTGAGAGAGATCTAAGGGTAGTTTTAAATCTCACCTTGTGAAGGAAAATTGTTCTTTTCTTCCCTGCTTTAAAGGGTGCTGAAAGGGAAAGTTTAAAAGATGCTGAAGCCCTTGAAATGCCTGGAACTTGGGATATCCAAGGTTTTAGACATCTTGAAGTCTTTACGTTCATATTTCAAAGGATTAGTTAGGCTGCTATTTATGTAAACATCACTTTTCACATCAGTCTTCGTTCATTTACCACCTGCTCACTTGTCCTATTTAATTTTCCTGTTCAATGACTTAATATAGAGATTTTTTTACATGCATGTTTAATCAGTTCTGAAAGCCTTGCTTGTTTTTCAGATTACTACACCCCATCCCCATGACGCAGTGTCTTTGAGGCTAGAAAAGCAGGAAGGCTGACACCCACCTTCCAAGTCTCTTCAAGGGGATAAAAACATGAGATCAGAAATGTCAGGAAGAGCAAGCAGAATTCCCCCATGGGAGCGGGCAGAGATCTGTGGGAAGGGTGTTTTTTGTACTATTTAAAGGCTTCATCTTGTGGTTCCTCTGTAAAAGGTGTAAGAGGCTGGATTAAGTTTGTGTGGTGAAAATGAGGCATCATTTCCTATTTGAGCTAGATATATTTTCTTAGAATCAAAATAATTTTTGAACAGCACAAAATCTAGGCTTCGTGCTCCTTGAGATCAAATTTAGAGTAAAAATGATAGAAGGAAGAAGAGACAAGGAGAGAAAACAACATATCAAAGTAGGCACTTTGCCCATGGCTCGGGTTCCAGCCACCCTACAATCTCTTCTGCACCTCCGATCTCCCAAACCGGTAATTTTGGAAGACTGTTTAGAAATAAAACTCTCAAAGATACGTTCTTCTGTGAGTTATTCTTACCATCACTTTCTATAAGTACACTGTATAATGCTGTTCAGTCTTTATATCCAACCACCTAACCTATTAAGTGTAGGAGAATCAAGAAAATCAAAGTTTGAGCAGAATAGACACACTTAGCACACATCCCACAGACACAGTTTACTCTCTGAAACACTGAATTTTAAGGAAGCAAGAGACAGTGGCCCATATTTCACTAAGGATGACTCACAGCAAACATTTTTGGAATATGACCTGTTTATCCACTGTGCTATTTCATTAACCCTAGTTTTGTTTAGAAGTAGGTATCTTCTGGTGTCACAGCCTACAGATTTATCTGTGTTAAATATGAAACACATGCTCTGAGCTACCAAGCCAGCAAATTATTCTGCTCTCCTTTGGCCATTCCTTTTCTGAGTACAGATAACTCTACCAAAGACCCTCAGTGAAGGACTATAAGGTTAATAACCAGTCAAGCTCCTGCTATCATAACTTAAGATGAAGAAGCCACAGAGGAAATATATTCATTCAGATGTTCAGGATACAGTGCTTAGATGCATTATTTTTTTTATTAGGTTTAACGTCTTTTTATAGGGTCATCCACCAAAATGCTAAAAGGAGAGACTCTGTCATGTAGCTTAATAGCACTGGCTATTTGTATATGATGAGAAAAGTTGTTGTGTGATCTTTATTTACAGAAAAAGCATGCAGAGGTGGAGGTCTACCAAAGGTCAGGGCTTCAAAACAAGCTGACTGTCTGGGCTGTAAATTACCTGCGACCTTGCATTACTAAATGGCTTTTCAGTGGGGTTCTGCTCTCTGAATCCTAGGATGGTGCCCTGCGAGTTATGAGCTCCAGGCTGCCGTCAGCTCTTCAGGGTGATGAGGAAGAAGTGTACTCCTACGGACATTTAAAACTGAAAGAAAATTGCACTGACCATTCTTGAGTCTGTGCCCCTTTCCACGGCAGGGAAACAGTTTGATGTCAGTTTTCTTTCTTTCTAACCAAACCTGCATCCCCTTCCTCCCCCTTCCCCTAGGTTTATTTCTCTTGCTTTGCCTACCTGGCAAATATGATATGATGGGTTAACACAGTAGAAGATCCGGTTTTTCTCTTAGTCCTGAGGAATAGCTTTTGATGAGTGCAAATTCACACAGTATTGCACTTCTTGCAATTATTTTATATGTGTCTATGTTTGGTGTTGATGGATAGCCTATGACTTTGCTCCTTGAATTTTTCCCAGTCCTCTGAGAAGCAGACAACAAGATAGGATTACAGATGAAAGAGATGTACTAGGAAAATGCCTGTGAGGGGCAATGGGGGAGGGAAACTGGAGGAGGCTGGGAGAGCATCAAACTGCAATGCTGACCCCTGTGTAGGAGAAAGGGAAGGAAGAAAGGAAGGAGGAAGAAAAAAGGGGGGGAGGAAGACAGGTCTTACACTGCAGTGCATTTCTAATAAAGTTCAGTAAAGCTAGCATGGAGTCCTTCTGAGCCAAAATCACCTGTCCAAGAAGACTTTTAACTCCCCAAAATGGGTCAGCCTGGGCATCCCTGTCCCATTCAGCACTGGCTAGGAACAGCCTTCCGAAAGTGAGACCCAGGCACAAATATAATAATGAATTTCAAAGCAGAGCATAGGGAAGGGCTGTTCAACTAGACTCCCTGCGGTAGGAGACCTGAGGGGCACACTTTCACGGCCACTGCACTCCTCCTGATTCCGCTAAGGGGAAGTAGCTTCCTTTTCACTTACAGTTGAGGAGCGGTGAAGTGGGATTAATGTTTCCAATCCCCCTATCCCCTGCTCACTCACTCCTCTGAATTAATCTAACTGGTGAGACCAAGGAAAGTCTGACCTTTGCTGGCCTGTGTCACTCTATGGATGAGATCACAGCATTATAAAAGGAAAGGTAGTTATTTCTAGTTCTATAAACAATTAGATTTTTGTGGAACAGGCTATATTGTCCTTTCAGCTAGCTAGATAAGTGTTAGATAAGAAAATCCAACTCTCCCTTAGATTTAGAACAAGAAGTAACTTCATTCTACAGTTCAGCTTTACCAGGAAGCTCCTCACTTTGAGAGTTCTGGGGAAGTTGTCTACTCCATAAATAAATCTAATTCTATGATTTTAATCTTTGATTATATTCTTGTTGCTATTTATCATTTGAATGGAGCCCGGAAGGGAGACTGGTGAGTAATTAGTATCACCTAATTTCTAAGGCATGGATGAATGTGAGCATGCTTACCCAAAATACCTGCATTGTCCTGAGTATAATCCATGAGAACAGCAATGTACTTATATGCTTGTTAGCATTTAAAATAATATCTGTGCTATAAGTTAATATCTGTTGGTGACAGCCCTTGTCATCGAAATAAAAGAATCAACCAATACTGCACAGAGAATCATGCTTGCAATCGAACAGCTATTTATAATCAAAAACCTCAAGACTTTTAAAAAACAATAGAAATACCTTTGGCTTCTTAAGCAAGCAAGGTGAACACATCGATAAGATTCTCTTCACGGAGGTCTCTTTACAAATGCAAGTCTCTAAAAGACCACTCAACCTGGAAACAAGAAGAAAGTTTCATTGGTAAGAATGATAATCTCACTGCGAGATACCAGGAATAACTCCATTAAGAATTTATGAAGAGAGCTAAATCTACAGAGGGCTCAAGTGTTCCTATCGTAAGAAGGCTCTCCAGAGTGATAATGGTTTTCGCCACGGGTAAACTGGAAAGCTTTTACTTCATCATTTTGCAGTCCACAGGAGAAGATGGTAGGCAGAAAAACATAAATGGGAGTTCAGGCATTGATTCATCATGGAAAAACTTGAATTTATCCATGGTTGTTGTTTTGTCTCTGGACTAATTGTCTTCTTCTGATTGTTATTAAATAGCAAAGAAAATCTGTTTGTGCTATTAAAAAATGTAATAAACTTATTGAATCTCAAGAACATAAGCCTGGAACACATTTTTTTAATGGTAGAAGCATTGTGAATAGTGTCCAAAAGTGTCAGACATAATCTAAACAGCATTTCCACCATCATTAAAGAGAATATCCAGGAAGCACTTTGAAAAGAGCTTTCAAAGTCATCTGAAATCAGTCTTCTTTGAAGAAAATTACCCTGGAAAATGGAGTGTAGCCAAAGCTATTCTTCCTGTTCTGCTCAGGGATGATGCAGTGCTTTTCAGAGGACAAACAGAATATTACTCAAATCAATGAAACATATATCACTGAGACGTCTACGTCTTTGAGTGGTTACAGGTCCAGCTGCATAAAAAGCAAAAATATGATTTCTTTTTTATCAGATCTCCTACAGACAAAATGTTCCCATAAATTCTAAATCAGTAAGACGATTCTTTTAATGACCAGCAATTCACCCAAAAGCCTATATTTTCTTGGGCTAAATAGGATAATTGCCTAGTAAATCATCCAGCTCCTAAAGAGATCTTTTGTTTGCATAAATGAATTCTTATTCATACACAGAGGCTCATTAAGTCCTATGACCTAGAATTATAAGCAATGAAGGCAAAGCCAACACGATAAATTGGAGATTATAAAATGTGACCTTTTTTTCTGGGCCTCTACTCCTTCACTTAAAAGTGACTGCAAAGATTGCATCAATAACCTACTCATGTGAGATGGCTTAGATCAAGGGTCTCCTATAGCACCTTCCCCCCAAGATACACTGAAGAAATAATTAATCTGATTATCTTCTGACGTCCCAATCATGCCATGTGTTTACATGGGTTTATTTGGTCGAAGAAAAACATGTGGTACATATCTTCATTCCAATAGCTATGGGAAGTTCCATCTGCTACATAATAAAGGAAATCATGAAAGAAGCTTGACACTTGGTAATCTTAGAATAGCGCTCTGCATGGAATCCAAACTCTTTATACATGAATTCATGTACAAGTCGCTTTTATGGGCTACCATTTGTGGACATGTCATGGTCTCACATGCAACATGGATTCAAATTTGAATCTTCAAACTCTGCCTATAAATAAATAGGAAAAGTTATAGCTGGGATGTTTCTATAGGTATTGCCTTATCTTTCCAATTATATAATTTTCTGTTTATATACTCCAAAGAAACAGTTAAGGTTACATTCTTGTGTGATTTTTCCAGCTAAAGTGTTTGTGGCTACAGATAACTATAGATAACTAATCTAACATGAGCTCAACACACGGGAGATTTCCACCTTCAGGCATTTGCCAATCTTTAAGCTACACAGGAAAATAGGTTAAGAAATTAAACAAAAGTTATTTTAAAGCAGAGCAGAAATCCTCAATAAAATTTTAGGAAATCAAATCCAACAGTAAGTAAAAAGAATAGTATACCACAGCCAAGTGGGATTTATTCTATTGGAGTATTCAAGGGAAGTTTGATATCCAAAAATCAACCATTGTAATCAACCACATTAACAGGACAAAGAAGAAAAGTCATATGATCATATCAATTGACTCAGAAGAAGCATTTGACAAAATTCAAAATCCATTCATTATAAAAATGCTTACTTAGCACACTGCGAAGAGAGGGGGGACTTCCTTAATCTCATAAACAGCATCTACGCAAAAACCTATAGCTAACATCATTCATACATCAAAGGCTGACTTCTTTCCCTCTAAGAGGAGGAACAAGACAAGGTATATGCTTTCACCACTCTTATTCAAGATATTACTGGAATTTTCAGTCACTACAAATAAGGGAAGAAAAAGAAAAAAACATACATATTGGAAAAGAAGAAATAAAACTCATCAGGCTGAGTTACTGTCTCTATTCACAGATGACATGATTGGCTATGCAGAAAATTCCTAGGGATCTACCAGAAAACGTCCTGGAACTGTGAGTTCAACAAGCTCACAGAATGCAGATCAAACATCAAAATTAACAGCACTACTCTACTCTGGCAACAAAAAAGCGGAAACTCAAATCAAAAATACAAACCATTTATAATTGCTCCAAAGAAAATTGAAGTCTTAGGTATAAACTTAATAAAACATGTATAGAATCTTCACGATGAGAATTACAAAATGATGATCAAAGACGATCTAAATACTTGGAGAAACATACCACATTCATGGATTACAAGGTTCAACACAGTAAAGATGACAATTCTCCCTAAATTGTTCTATAGGCTTAACACAATTTTTATTAAATCTTAGTAAAGTGTTTTGTATAATATAAAAGTTTATTCTAAAATGAATAGAAAGGACTTGAAATAGCCAAAACAACTTTAAACAAAGAAGAATAGAGTGGAAGAAATCACTCTTCCCAATGTTAAGGTTTACTATACAGTTGACCCTTGAACAACATGGGTTTGAACTGCACTTATAAAGTCCACTTATACGTGGATTTTTTTTTCAACAAACAGTACATACTACAGTACCACATGATCCACGGTTGGCTGAATCCACGTAGGTGCAGAACCGTGGATATTAAGGGTCAGCTGTAAAGTTGTACGTGGATTTTAGACTGCGTGAAGGCTGGCACCTCTAACACCCACATTGTTCAAGGGTCAACTGTATAGCAACAGTAACTAAGACAGTGTGGTACTGGCGAAGGAAAAGACACACAGTCCAATGGAACATAATAGGAAAATCAGAATTATATCTACATGAATATGAGCAATTGATTTGTGACAACGATGCAAACAAATCATTAATGTTTTTAATGATTAGTGCTGCAGCCTTTGGATATCTATAGGCAAAAGCATAAACCTTGACTTAAACCTCATATCTTGTACCAAAAATTAACTCAAAATGCACTGAGGGGCTTCCCTGGTGGCGCAGTGGTTGAGAGTCCGCCTGCCGATGCAGGGGACACGGGTTCGTGCCCCGGTCCGGGAAGATCCCACATGCTGCGGAGCGGCCGGGCCCGTGAGCCATGGCCGCTGAGCCTGCGCGTCCGGAGCCTGTGCTCCACAACAGGAGAGGCCACAACAGTGAGAGGCCCGCGTACCGCAAAAAAAAAAAAAAAAAAAAAAAAAAAAATGCACTGAGGACTTAAATGTAAAACTATAAAACTTCTAAAAAATATATATCAGAAGATTTTCATGACCCCTTAGGACTAGGTGAAGTGTCCTTAAACTTGACAACAAAAACTCACATGTGCACACACATACACAAAAAGAAGTTTACTATTTTAGTTTTTATCCCTGGCTGAAGGTTTATTCCTTTTTGTTATAGTCAAGGGAAAGTATCTCATAGCTACTGACTGAGGATCACAGATCCTTGTGCCCTGCGACTAGACCCTTCCTCTAATAATACTGGTACCTGAACATCTAGAATCTGAAACTTCAAAACTAGACTAGAAAGGACTGCCAAAAAGCTAGTAAAAATATGGCATAATGAATCATTGAGAATGATAATGATTCATGGATTTTCGAGCACCTAAACATGTACACAGGAATCAAAGGATATCTTAGATGTTATTGAATTCAGTCATCCCCAAACTTGGTCACCAAGAAACCCTCTTATTTTTTCAACAATGCATTCTGTGTTAAAAGCTTTGTTTATTAGAACTAGTAACTATGAATCATTGAAGCCTGTGTGCCTGTTATTATGATAAACATTTATATACCTAATTTGATATTTTAAAAATTATAAAACATCTACTGTCAATCATTATTAAATATATGAGGAAACTAAAGCCAACAGCAGTTAAGTAACCTAAGATCACATAGCCAGTAGAATTGGGATTTGAACTCAGGCCTGTCTGATTTCAAAGTCAAAGCTTTCAACCTCTGTGATATACCCCTTCCCCATTCTAAAATACATTAAAAACATATTACATTGAACCATATGAAATCATTCTCTTTTTAGGTGAAAAACTGTCAAATATCCTCAGTTTTATATCATTCAACCTAACGATTAATTCCTTCCCTCATTCTGTTTAGTATAAGAAAACCACAATTGCCATACTGGGCTGATAGTATTCCAATCAAAAGCAAAATGAATTTTCTATTTTATTTAGCCTATGTACCACTGACATAGATTTTTTTTTTTTTTACAAACTATTATTTTACTTAGGCTTTTTGAAATATTAAAATAGTGCTACACTCAGGTTAGGAACCACTGATCTACCTAACTCCCCAAGCTCTTATTTTTATAGGCAGGGAGCTGAGTGTCAAGATGACAGAATTAGTGACAACACAGGATCAGAGGCCCTCCTCTGATTCTGCTTCTCTGTGATATGATAGCATCTAAAGTCTATTCATTTAAGTAAATTCAGTTTACCGATAACAATTCCTGGGGCAACTGTTTGCCTAAATACCTATATACACACAGGATATATACCGTCTCTGGAACTTTGAGTTTTCTTAGTGCTCTTCTACCTTTGTTGAGGGAGTGGGACAGAGAACAGAATGCCTGGCTATTTCTATCTAGATGAAGCAAGGACAATATTTCACGGGACATAATTCTTCATAATTCTAGATCATTTGCTCATTCGCTAAATAGAAAATCTTCAAGAAGCCAGCAAACTGAGAAACCAAGAAGATAGTAAATTTAAAGGAGACTGTTAATTTGAACAGCACATATCACCATTGGGTAGGAGTGG